AGGGTGACTGCGATGATCTCGAAAGGTATGTTTTTCTGGGTCATATCATTGTAGTTTTGCAACCACTCCTCAAATCTAGTGACTTGTTGGTGAGAAAAATGAATGTTGAAATAGGGATTTGACCAAACCTGCTTTGTCTTATCACTGATAAGGAATAGATGCTCGACTGTTTCGGGCTTTTTTCGACACAATGGGCAAAAATGTTCAGATAATACTGTTCTCTTGAACAAGTTTACTCTTATAGGTAATGCATCTTGGCAGACGCTCCACATGAAAAGTCTGACTTTTGGGAGTGTTTTTAGCCTCCAAATTTTGCTCCATAGATCGTTGGGTATTTGGTAGGAAGAAGAGGGCTGCCCAGAGCCATGTGTGGTCTCATTTTTCACTACTTTTATGGGACGTTGCCACTGTTCCAATCTTACGGAGAAAATAAAAATTTCACTCCATTGACTTTCGAATTTAGATTGAGATCAAAGCGTACTGATGAGGAAATTGAATCATCACGAGACATGCGTAATTATACTTAAATGATTAATAATGAGTGAGGAGAAAGCTCGTTTTTGCTTTTCATGTAGGCCCTGAAACTCATCAAATTCAAGTGTTAATTATGTTTCCCGTCGATGTCACACATTTTGGTGCATATCTTGTTGACTAAGGTTCCTATTGCTCCCCTATTATTGTACCATTGACGTGTTGTTCCCTATCTCTCAGTCTTTCTTAAGAAGTTGAACATGCATCAAGTCATCCCACTGATAACGAAACGCGCAAAATCAAAGGGCAATCTAACTCTCTTGCTTCTCCGTTTAGCGCGCTCCACACGCAGAGAGAGAGAGAGAGAGAGGAAGAGAGACGAGAGTGCGGGGTGAGTATTTTTAATAATATTTTAATAAATTTTTTAGAGTTTTTCATTTTTTTCCTTTTCTTCCACTACAAAAAAACAAGGATTTAGCCACGGAAATTAGCGACGAATAATTTTTCGTGGCTAATTTGCAACGAATTTTTTTTTCGTCGCAAATTAGCGACGAATAAAGCGACAAAAAAAAATCCATGGCAAATTTGCGACAGAATTTGCCACGAAAAAAAATTCGTGACTAATTTGCGACGAAAAAAAATGTCGTCGCTAATTTGCGACGGAATTTGCCACGAAAAAAAAATTGTGGCTAATTTGCGACGGAATTTGCCACGAAAAAATTCGTGGCAAATTTGCGACGGAATTTGCGACGAATTCTTTTTCTGCTAATTTGCGACGAAAAAAATATCGTCGCTAATTTGCGACGGAATTTGCCACGAAAAATCCGTCACTAATTTGCAACGGAATTTGCGACGAAAAATTATTCGTTGCTAATTTGCGACGGAGTTAGCGACGGATTTTTTTCGTCGCTAATTTTGCGACGTAATTTCCTTCATGATATTTGCTCAACAAAGTGTTAAAAGCATCACACATGGAGAAACTGGAGAGAGACATTCCAATTATTCTTTGCAATTTAGAAAGGATATTTCCTCCATCGTTTTTTGATTCAATGGAGCATATCTTAGTTCACTTGCCTTATGAGGCCAAAGTTGCAGGTCCCGTCCAATTTCGATGGATGTATCTATTTAAGAGATAAAATAAATTTCAAAATAAATTTCAAAATACTTTATTATTTATTATGTTCTGATAAACTTCTTTCTATTGCAACAAGGTTCTTATATCATTTGAAAAAAAAAGTGAAGAATAAGGCATGTGTTGAAGCTTCAATTTGTAATGCATATATTGTGGAAAGAAGTGACAACATTTACATCATACTATTTTGAGCCGCACATGCAGTGAGCAGGAAGAAATGATGAGGGTCTCATCGATCCCAATTGCAAATCATTCTCTATTTTCAATTATCTCGATCGACCAAGCGGCGCATGTAAGTTTCGTTGCTTAACGGGCGAAGAACAACAGGCCGCCCATACATATATTTTTATCAATTGTCCGGTGGAGCCATACTTCCAATAAGTGTATATTTGCAAATATATGTATTGCGTGTCAAATATTTACTAATATATAAATGTAAATTGTTAATAGGATTTTTCAAAATTCAATGTATGGACTACCACCAAATGAGTTTGACCGTTTATGCGATAAACAATTTGCAGCATGGTTCAAAACATATGTAAGTTGTCTATAGACCAAAACCAAGTTATTAATATTTTATACATCATTTAAATATATATTATTGACTTTGCGTGTGTGATCTTAGGTTCACGTAATCATGATCAAGTTGAAGAGCAAGGATTGCTATATTATCTCGTCATGGGGTCCACAATAAGCATACGAACTTGGCCAAAGATATTTCATAAACGGGTATAATTTTCACACTCAAGAATATGGAATAGGAAAACCCACAATGAATAAAGGTGTGTGTGATCGGTCATCCAATCGTGGTAATTCAAAAGATGATTTTTATGGCTTGTTGGATGAAATCATCGAGATAGAGTACCCCGGACCATTAATGCGGGTTGTGTTATTTAAGTGCATGTGGTTCGACCCCGTCAAAGGAATGAAGGTGCATACGAAATTTAATTTGGTTAAAATAAATCATAAGAAAAGGTATATGAAATATGAACCATTTGTGTTGGCACAACAAGCAATTCAAGTATATTATGCATCATATCCTAGTTTGAAACCCGACAAAGGCGATTAGTGGGGCTGTATGTAAAACCAAAGCATGAAGAAAATCGAGGAACACCTGGAAGGATACAAAGATATCAACAAGAGGAAGTTTGTAACGCGGTTCAAACCGAGGAATATTACATTCCTACTCTACGAGATCCATGTGGACCAACGATAGATGTAGATCTAACCGAAATTCGCGAATCAAATTTAGAAGGTGTTGCGAAATCGATTTTGAGACAGAGGATGATGAGGATGATGAGGATGATGATGATAATGATGATGACGATGATGATGACGATGATGCTCAAGAAGAAGATCAAGATCAAGACGAAGGTGAAGATGAAGATTTAGATTTTTGAGATTTTTTACTAATTATGTCGTAATTATTATTATTATTATTATTATGACAAGAGTTCATTGTTGTTGTCATATTTATTATTGTTGTTGTTGTCGTAATTATTAGTATTGTTGTTGTTGTTGTTGTTATTATTATTATTATTATTATTGCTATTATTGTTAATTAAACGTTATTGTCGGGAAAAAAATGAATTAGGCGTGTGTGGGCTAGTAAAAATGAAATTGTGGCTAAATCCGTGGCAAATTTGCGACGGATTTATCAATGAATTTCATAAAAAATGCCCACAATTCATTTTTTATGAAATTCGTGGTAAACTTCACGGCAAATTTGCCACGGATTTTGCCACGAATTTTAAAAAAATGGCCACAAACATGCCTAAGTAATTTTTTCATGAAATCCGTGGCAAATTTGTCACGGATTTTAGCCACGAATTTCATAAAAAAATGAACGTAGGCATGTGTATGGGCATTTTTAAAAATTCGTGGCAAATTTATCACGGATTTTAGCCACGAATTTCATAAAAATGAATTTTTGGCATTTTATGAAATTCGTGGCTAAAATCCGTGGCAAATTTGCTACGAATTTTAGTCACGAATTTCATAAAAAAATGAACGTAGGCATGTGTATGGGCATTTTTTAAAATTCGTGGCTAAAATCCGTGGCAAATTTTTTATAAAAATGAATTTTTGGCATTTTATGAAATTCGTGGCTAAAATCCGTGGCAAATTTACCACGGATTTTAGCCACGAATTTCATAAAAAAATGAACGTAGGCAATGGTATGGGCATTTTTTAAAATTCGTGGCTAAAATCCGTGGCAAATTTACCACGAATTTTAGCTACGAATTTTAAATAATCCGTCGCAAATTTCGAGTTCCCCGCCCTTAGTCCCAATTTGCCCGCCCTCTCCCTCCATTCTCTCTCTCTCTCTCTTTCGTTTCTCTCTATCAAATCAGATCTGCTTCCACTTCTCATTCTCCTTCTCCTTCTCCTTCTTCCCTCTCCCCCACACTCCCAGACCTCTCGCGCTCGCTAGGGTTTTAGGTATCCCCTTCCCCCCGCACTTCCTCCCGCGACTCCTCCTCGCCCGTGGCCTCCGGAGCCCTAGAGGAAATCGAGCCAGAGAAGAGCAATCTCCGATTCGATCCCTCCCGGAGCTCACCGTCCATGGCGATCATCTCCGACTTCGAGGAGGAAGAGGAGAAGCAACCTGAGGCCAAGCCCTCGGCCTCGTCCTCGTCCTCGGCCTCCTCCTCTGCCGCGGCGGAGTTCATCGCGAGGTTCGATCCGTCCAGGCCACTGGGGTTCATCGAGGAGGCCTTCGAGTTCGTGGCCGAGCGGAGCGATTTCCTCGCGCATGAGGCGGCGGAGAGGGACGTCGCGGCGGTGTTGAGGGCGGTGAGGGAGAAGCAGAAGCTGAGGTAGGTCGAGAGGGAGAAGGAGAGGGAGCGGGAGAGGGCTAAGAAGGCGAAGGCGGCGGCGGCGGCGGCGGCTAAGAAGGTGGAGGAAGAGAAGAAGGTGCAGGAGGTGGAGATGAAGGATGCGGAGGAAGAGAAGGAGGAGAAGAGTGGAGCGATAGGCAAGGGCTTTTGATTTTTCTTGGACAGTGTCGTGATTTGTTGCTTGCTACGCATGAGCGCGATGAGTGCCTGTCGAGACGCTGCTGGGGTTGAGACATCTATATAGCTTAGATGAGAAGTACATTACATAGTGATCGCTCATGATGTGGCTCTTTTCTCCTGCTATAGTTAGGCTGTGACGGTTTCGCGGCCGTAGTCATCTCTATAGCTTGGATGTTTTCTCTGGTTGGCTATTTAATGGCGATGGGCAGGGAAAATGTTTCATTCTATTATGCTATCGATTTCGCTAAAGTGTGGATATTCTTTGATGGGTACTTGCTCCTTTGTTCAGCAATCTGAACTCTCCCGAATAATTAAATTTCTCTCGTGTTGATCTCTCCTATAATCTGTTTAAGCGTGCATTGGCTTATTCAAGTATTCTTTTTTTTTCTGAGATGGAAGGTACTATTGCCCGTACTCATGTTGGTCTCGAAGATAATCACAGCACAGCTTCGAGTTTTGCTGTGGCACTTGGCAACAGCAGTTGGTCTGATCTTCCGTCTCCAAGCTCTTGGAACATTGATATTCTCGTAGATTCAATCAAGCAGCTTGTGAGTTTGACATTTCTGATTCAATCTTTGGCTTTAATGGTATGCGTATAGTACACTTTTAGAAGCAATTCTTTGAATACAGGCGCCTGGAATCAATTGGTTATCAGTAATTGAAAGCCTGGATCATGAAGGATTCTACTTGCCTAATGAGGAAGCATTTTCTTTCTTCATGTCTGTTTATCGATGTGCTTGTCAGGTGTGTTTGCATGTCTTGTCTAGTTTTTGGAAATTATTTTGCCTGATCATGAAGTTCTATTATGAGCCCTAGCAACTTATCTGCTGAAGTTTATGGAATCTTGAACTTGGGTTGTGCAGGATCCTTTTCCTCTCAAGGCCATATGTGGGTCTGTCTGGAAGAATATTGAGGGCCAGATATCATTCTTAAAATATGCTGTGTCAGCTCCTCCCGAAGCATTTACCTTTGCTCATTCTGCGAGGCAGCTGGTATGTGCTATAGAACTTGTAATCCTTCCCTTTATTGTTTATTTGGTTCTAATTATATGGTAAAATTCTGTGTAGGCTTATGTTGATGCGATATATGGTCATAAGCTCCAGCTTGGACATGCAAATCATGCTTGGTTGTGCCTTGACCTCTTAGATGTGTTGTGTCAAATTGCTGAGGCTGGTTACGCTGGATCTGTTCGCGCAATGCTTGAATACCCTCTCAAATACTGTCCAGAAGTCTTGCTTCTTGCAATGGCACATATTAATGTATGCAATTGGAAATGCATTGACACTTTTCATCGTTTGTCTTGATATAATCATCCTGAATTTGAATCTATGTATTCCTGTGCTTGTAGACTGTATATAATCTCCTGCAGTCTGAAGTCTCCCTTGCCGTGTTTCCCATGATAATGAAAAATGCTGGGGGTGTCGGCATGATCCTTTACCTCTGGCATGTTAACCCGATTCTTGTGTTGAGGGGGTTTGTTGATGCTGCGGGTCTTGATCCAGACTGCATGACTAGAATACTGGACATTTGTGAAGAGCTTAAGGTGAGAGACAGCCGGAAGTTTTTACTGATCCATCCTCTAGGATTTTTTTATGCATTATATTGCTCAGATACCCCGACACTTCTTGTCTTTGTCTTTTCCCCATTAAATGGCTAATGCATTAGACTTATTCACAGTGGACTACACCCTGCGTTTGCAAAGATGGGTTAAAAATATCTTCATGGATGTCTGATTGCATTCCTTGATAGGCGAGTGATCTTTACACTGTTGACCTTATTGTATGTTTTGCTGTCAGTGAACCTATAAAAACTGGTATTGGACTATCCTCTACTGAAAATTGTAGATAAGGGTCGAGATCATGTCTCCTTTGGTGCCCTGAACCAATGTAATGAAATGTATGAAGTGATATTAAGTTGCCAATCCAGCATTCTTATCACTGCTGCAATTGCTGGATTCCAGAAAATGCTCTGCATGGATCCTAGAAGAAGCAAGATGCTCTGCAAGAACTTCATGATCTTATTACCTCAAAGAGATCCCGAGCATGGCAAAATACCCTTGAGAGGATTATGTTCAAGTACATTGAGCTATGTGTTGATATGCGGAGGGGGAGATTTGCCAAGGATGTTCAAGTACATTGAGCTATATGTTCAAGTACATGGAAAATGTAAATGAATGTATTTCATTTTCATATTATTATAATAGTTTGATCACATTGAGCTATATGTTCAAGTACATGGAAAATGTAGATGAATGTATTTCATTTTCATATTATTATAATATTTTGATGTTCTTAAGTGCTTAATCAATGTTAAATACAAATTCTAGAAATTAATTTTGCTTTAAATTACATTTAAAATCGAATAAGAAAATGAAATACATTCATTTTGGTGGGTAATTTAAATTACCCACGAATTTTGCCATGAATAAGTTCGTCGCAAAAAACTGACAAAAAAAAAATTTGGTGGCAAATTAGCCATGAATTTTGCCACAAAATGTGTTCGTCGCAAATTAGCGATAAATTTTGCCACGAATAATTGGCAACGATTTTTGCCACAAAAATATTTCGTCGCAATTTCGTGACCAACAAAAAAAAATTTTGAAAAAAATAGCGACGAATTTTGCCACGAATACAGTTCGTGGCAAATTAGCGACGAATTTTGTCACGAATATATTTCGTGGCAAATTAGCGACGAATTTTGCCACGAATAAAGTTCGTGGCAAATTAGTCACGAATTTTGCCACGAATAATTAGCGACGAATTTTGTTTCGTGGCAAATTATCCACGAATTTTGCCACGAATAATTAGCGACGAATTTTTTTTCGTCGCAAGTTAGCGACGAAAATTGAAATTTTCCGTCGCAAAATTTTGCGATGGCCTATTAGCGACGAATTTTTTTCCGTCGCAAATTCGTTTAGCGACGAATTTTGCCAAATTTTTCGTGACAAAATTCGTGGCTAAAACCAACTTTTTTTGTAGTGTTCTCTTTTCCTTCTTTACTTTTTTTTACTATGGCTGTCGAGGGTCGCAGGAGGCCTCCTTGGTTACAGTAAAAAAAAAAAGGAAAAGAGAAGAAAAGAAAAGAAAAAAAATTTAAAAAAAATTTATCCACGTCAGCACCGGCCGTGTCACGTAGAGCAGCTGGCGTTCACGTTAGCAATTTCCGGCAAAAATTGGCCGGATGAATTCAACTGGCAAAACGTGGAAAGGTTTAAGACCCAATTGATACAATTAAAATGTTTAGAACTAAATTGGTAAAAATGCAATAGGTTTATAACTTTATTGGTAATTTTTCCGGAAAAATTAGATGTGCACGACAGCACAAGTTACTCCACACGATTTGCTCCATCGTCCTCTCGTCCATGACGTGAAGTGCAAGGTGGGTTCGATTGCTTGACCCGACCAAATCAAATGAATGCAAATCGTTCCTCACGTATCTTGGCCGTGAATTCTTTCGGACCAGAGGCAGATGTTTTCTTATCATGACAAAACAAACTAAGCTTAGTCGAGTCCGACAAAATATTTTTTCGGACGACCAAGGGATCGCATGTTCGGAAATATAATGAAGCAGAAGACTCGATTTTAGTTGACCATCATATGAAATCGGGTCTCTTGCATTATATCATTTGCTTGGTTGGCACACATGATGACAAGACAACCACTTATTTTTAACTGCTTGATACGTCACTAATGCCACGAATTGCAATTTGCAAATCAACCTTTTTTTTTCGCTCTCACTCGATCTTCACAGCTCAACATCATGCGTGGAGCGTATCTCCGACCATCTTGCATATGGGTACTTGCTACCTCATATATAGAGACGTCCTGACTTCCAATACGCTCATCAACAACCTCGGATCTTTTGATTTTCGGATGGATTCAATAGTCACGGCTCAAACAAAATATTATGCATACATGTGTGGACCCTTGTAGTAATAATCCTCATAGATGATAGCTGTGTTGGTCATGAGCTCTAGGAATACGTGACACTGTAATTATGATACGGCCCATTGAAGGTGATTCTAAATCATAATATTTCACGTGTGAACCAATGATGATGGTAAAACACCGTGATGATTTATACTAGCAAACAGATTGTTAAACCGATTCAATGACGAACGAGTTACTTTATCAACCAAAACTAGCATTGAAGGGGCAATAAAAGGAAAAACCGATATTTAATTCTAGCCTAGGTTTTATCCAATCACCTAGCCAATAAGATATATAGCATACAAAAAATCCCTCAAATTTCTTATCTCATCCTATCCTATCTCAATCCAAATCCTTGTCCTGGTGACCAAAGGCAACGTTAATCACGATTGCCGAAAACGAATTTACTCACCCGGGGGGTTAAAATCAATCTTGACTATTACACATGTTAGGCAAAATCTATCGAAGTCGCATGATAGAATTACTGATAACTAGACGGAGCCTGCGCAGTGTTACACCGAACTAATATGCTTGATATATAATCAAAGACATTAATAGAGAAATTTTTTTGACAAATTATATAAATGACAATATGAAAATTAGCAATTTTATTTCTTTATACAAATTACGGCACATAAATGCATAATATCTATTTTAAAAATACTGCAAATTTAGATAATCTTAAAAAAGGGGTTAATACCAAAAAATAACTCAAAATTGGTACATTCATAATAAATTTACTCCGAATTAATTTTTTAATCATCAAAAATTCAAAATCGATACACATACGATAAATTTACGGCCGGTTGCAAACGAACGGCCCCTAACAAGGAAAGCTCCACCACTTACACGAGGATGCGACGTGTCACTCGATTCTTGAAAGTTCACGGCGGCTGCCTGGGAGCGTTCGTAGCGTACGATCCCTCTCCCCCAGGAACTTCCAATTTGAAAAAGAGACAGAACACAGAGCAGGGCGTAGGACGAAGGAGGGACCGACCGAAGCCTTTGAAAGTGCCCACAGGCCACAGGCACAGGCACTCTCGTTTGAATGCAAATCTCTCTCTATCTCTACTGAACAGTGAACACCAACTCTAGCTCCAGGAGAGATCAGGGAGCGCCATCCCCGAAGGTGAATGGAGGCGATCAGAAAGCAAGCCACTCGACTCAGAGACCAAGTCGCCAAGCAGCAGCAGGTTCTCCCTCTCCCTCTCCCTCTACCTCTCCCTCCCTCTCTCCTTCCCTCTCTGAAAGCTCGCCGATGACGTGGGTTTTGCTTCCGATGGTGCGGGGACTGGCCATTGCGTTCTCCCTCGGCTTGTCGCTGCCGGAACGCGCGGAACGCCACGGATTCTGGCTGCTTTCGTGCCGTCTTCCGTCCCGATTGGACGCATTGCAGTGGGAACCTGTTTAGAACGTTGCGTTGGTAGCGGGCTGTTGATGGGCCGGTGTCTTTGCGTAGTTTTGGTTGAGTTTGCGTTCGTCGGTCAGCGTTAAGCGTCGGATCTAACGGACGGAAATGTGTGTCTCTTGATACGTTTGGCGTGAGGACTAGGAAAACAAGTCGGTGGGAATGTGACCGATGAAGGTTGACGGCAACCCTTTAATCGGTGTGAGCACAATCTTGACTCGACGTGTGTTTTCAGCAGAAAAACTATGCTAGGGACAATAGATGATGCAAACTGTTGCTTTGGAGGAGCACTTTGTAATTTTTTTTTTTTGAAGATAAGGATGAACGTGCAGCTAATAGGATATAGGGTTGCTGCTCGGGGATGCCGACCTTGTGGTGTATTTTTGTCTTCGCGCTCTATGCGGGGCGCAGTGTCTAAATGCAGTGGCAAAGATTGGAGCATGCCAGGAGAAAGGCTTGGAGAAGTCAAAATTGTCTCTGAAAATAACCCTCTTGTGCGTAGTCATAATCTGTCTTGTCATATATAGGTTCATTAGGACTAGAAAAATTGCATAATCTGGAAGAAACCTGGGGATATCCACGGGAATCATATCTAATTCTCCAACATACCGATGCCATTTATCCATAAATTTTTCTTTTCACTCTAGGGAAACAAATGCTTTGTTTTCGTCTGATTGAATTGTGCTATGTCATTGTCCAAGTCTCTAGTTTCTTTAGTGCACATGCTACATGTGTATCCTTTGACGAGAGGCAGCATTTAACCATTTTAACTATTACATTAGGCTGTCCTCAAGCAGTTTGGAGCAGGGGGATATGGAGGGTCAGATGGCATGATCACCAATGAGGCAGAACACCAGCAACATCAGAAACTTGAGAAGCTTTACATATCAACACGCACTGGCAAGGTATTCCCTCTTAACAGTTATGACTTTTTCCATAGTATACATACCCCCTAGGGAGATAAGGCTTGTTCGTTGTTGCATTTTTCTGTATATCCAATACATTAATGGTCAAATTCATGTTCCAGCATTTCCAAAAGGATATTGTACGTGGAGCAGAAGGATACATAGTTACTGGGTCAAAGCAAGTTGAGATTGGTGAGTTTGCAGCTTTACTTTTAGTCTTCGAATTTTTTGGATTTCTGACTGATTTTAGCACGTGTCAATTTTGTGCATGTGTATCCTATTTAACAGGAACAAAATTGTCCGAGGACAGTAGAAAATATGGTTCTGAAAATACTTGTACCAGCGGTAGTACTTTAACAAAAGCTGCCTTAAGTTATGGACGGGCTCGTGTTCAAATTGAGAAAGAGCGTGGGGATCTCTTGAAAGCTCTAGGGACACAGGTTTGGCTAACTTATTCGCTGTTCACAGATTATGCTTATATAAGCAGGTTGTGAATCATGACATGGAGCCTGCGGAGTTGTGTATTTAAAACTATTGTCGTTTTTTCTGGGTTTCATGTATGGAATAAATATTTTTTGTAAGGGCTGTGTAAGTCTTGATGTGCTTCCAGTAAAATCATGAAGACAAGAAAGTTACTTTATTTGTGTAACTGCTTTTTGTTACAATAATATCAGATTTTAAGAGTGTCTGAAAATCAGCTTCTATATTGTTCTGCTTCTTTAGCTTCACTTCATCTGAATTCGTATAGAAATTTTAGATGCAGAGTCCACTTTTGAAATTCTCATCTATGTTTGACATGCGTGGCGATAACCTGATTTTCCTTACCTTTTTATAGCACTTATTGCTTCATTTTATAGGTTGCAGAACCATTAAGAGCGATGGTAATGGGATCTCCGTTGGAAGAAGCACGGCATCTTGCTCAACGATATGACAGGATGAGACAGGAAGCTGAATCCCAGGTATTCTCAAACATGTTCTCATCCTCAGTAACCAATATATATGAGCTCTTTCTTGAAGCAACTTGATGTCAATACTATTTTTAGTAAAAGATGCTTTGTATGCTTTCTAACAGCATCTTTCCTTATACAAGCGCGGAGTTTCTCTTTTACTTCAGATAAAGAGCAGACTTGCGTTAACATGACACTAGAAAATGTGAACTGAAGCGTTCCCTGGAACTTAGACAGGCTATTGAAGTTTCCAGGCGCCAAGCAAAAGTGAGGGAAACTCCAGGAAATGCTGAGAATGCTACGAAACTGGAAGCAGCAGAAGCAAGGCTGCAAGATCTCAAGTCAAACATGGCAGTATTAGGGAAAGAAGCTGCCGCTTCTATGTCTGCTGTTGAAGCTCAACAACAGAGGTTAACACTCCAGCGACTTATTGCCATGGTAGGCCCTTTGGAATCTGACAAGGACCTGATTTTTTTATTTGCTTTTGTTGTTAAAATCAAACGGAAATCTTACCTCTTTTTCTGGATGAAGGTTGAAGCGGAGCGTACTTTTCATAAGAGAGTTCTTCATATACTTGAACAGATTGAAGGCGAGGTATACTTGTGTTTTCCCAACCTTTTCTTACCTTATTCTTAGGTGTGTTGATTGATCTAAGTTAGGATGATTTCTGTTTCTTTTCCTTTAATTGACAGATGATGTCAGAAAGACAACGTATTGAAGCGCCTCCTAGCCCGAGTTTGGACAACATGTGTGCACCTCCATCATATGAAGAAGCCAATGGCATCTATGCATCACATATGCAAAATGGTTCTGCTGATAGAATGAGTTACTTTCTGGGAGAGGTTTGTGAATGACAGGAAAAGGCGTCACTTGATATCCTTAAACTATTGTTATTGAATGAAAGTCTAATAGACATCTAATTTCTTGTAGGTTACTCAGCCATATCAAGCTGAATCTGATGTAGAGCTGAATCTATCAGTCGGTGATTATGTCGTCGTCCGAAAGGTTTACTGCTTGCCCAAATATATATAGAGTATTAGTCGATTGGTTATTCTAAAATTGATTGTTTGTTCCTGTTAGCTTAAGACGTCTCTTAACCCATCTAATTCCACAACACATTTGGTTTATACAAATTCAATTAAATACCTAAGATTAAGATGATAACTTATGTTTGCGGTTGAGTTAGCGACTGTCTTTTTATGCTTGCACAATCAGATTGTCTTTTTTCATCATGTTTATCCATTTTTAGTTTGCTTATTTCCCTACTGAGGGTGTCAGGTAGGGGCCGAGGGTTAAATGATGTTTGTGTATGCTATAGGACTTGTATGATGTGGCATTGCTGTATTCATTCTGAAGTGCAGCAAGCAGATTTTGGCTGTTTGGAAAGGAAATCTCATTCAATAGATTTGGTTTCCAGATTTGGTTTCCGGAACAGGTTCATGTCACACACGCCCTGCCAAAAGATTTTTCCTTTGATGAATGGTCTAATATGTGAATGCGGCTTGAGTGACAACAGGATTAAAATAAGGCAAAGCTTTCACATTCGAAAGCTAAAGGTGTAGTCAAATGGTGTGTGGTAGAGGGTCCTCTACGTGGTCCTTGGGACTTTATCACTTTTATGTGGCTTAATTAGTGTAGGTAAGCTTAACTATCCTTTGACTTAGTAGTAAAACAAAGATTCATCTGAATTTTCTATTGAGGGGCTATGAATGATTCTAACATATTTTCACTGCTTATTTTTATCCCATTTCATCTGACAAGTACAGTTAATGGAATATGTCCATAGAATTGTTCTTTCCATTAACGTTCTTCTCTAGTGCTTGATGTGCCTATGTACGGGGGACAGTATTTTCCTCCCTGTGGGGGCCGATTGCTCAATTTTTTGCCCCTCAAGTTGATTTTTTCCTCACATCTTTTGATTCAACTATAGAAATCAGAAGGGAAATTATCTGTGTGCTCTTCACAGGTGACTAACAATGGTTGGGCAGAAGGTGAATGTAAAGGTAAAGCGGGATGGTTCCCATTTGGGTATGTTGAAAGAAGGGAGCGTGTTCTTGCAAGCAAAATGGCCGAAGTGTTTTAGATTTCTTCAGTATTCTTTTTGTGGGGATCAATGCTTTTGATATGTACGATATGTATTCTGGGGTATAATTGATGTGTTTGTGCAATCGATGGAACACCTAGCCTTCTTGTTGGGTCAAATTGATGCTCCCAGTTTGTGGAACACCTCAAATTGCTGTTGTGAGGGATCTGATCGGAGTGCTTATCGAGCGAGGGAACCTTTCTGAGCTACTGCTTTACATACTTGGGGTTGGAGTGTATCTTTGCTGTTGCTGAAATATGTCATGCTAGAACAATTAGAACATTTCGTGAAGTATGGATCTATTGGAACGTCATTGTATTTCATTGACAAGGATAAAGGTAAATGCAGAAAGTTTTATGTTAAGGACAGTTATTTTTCATTGACATGGTTAAAGGTAAATGCAGATAGTTTTATGTTAACAACAGATATCATGTCCTAAAGCGAAGGATATAAACTTTTTTAATTAGCCTTAACATGTGTAATTTGCACCAAATTCATCGGAGCCATCGAATGCACCAGGATGCACACGATCCGACCATCTCCACCAGGATGAACCTAAACGTGTCACATTGATTAGATTGTTAAGACCACGGTATATCACGAGCTATAGGAACACAAACCAAGGGATGAGCGATGAGAAGAGCAATCCCGGCAGCTTCGGTAATGTCCACTGAATTGTCCTTGCCGTTAACCACTTTCCAGTCGAAGCACTGGATTAAACCAGCGAGTGTCATTTGAATCACTTGTAGAGCCAGAGAGGTCCCGGGACAGCTTCTCCTTCCACTCCCAAATGGCAAAAGCTCATAATGTTGTCCCCTCACATCTATTTGGCTCCTTCCGCTTCCATTCATGAATCTCATAGGCACAAAATCCATTGGATTTTCCCAGTAATTGGGGTCTCTCCCTATCGACCACACATTGACAATGCGCCTTTGTGTTCACAGGGATGTCGTAGCCTCCGATTTTGCAGTGTTGAGTGGATTCTCTTGTGAAGAGAGGACCTGATGGGTGAAGCCTCAGGGTCTCCTTGACAATTGCTTGGAGATAGTGAAGATTAGGCACGTCTGACTCCTTGACCAGCCTCTTGTTTCCTGTGATGGTGTCAAATTTCTTCTCTTGCCTTGTTCAATATGTCGGGATGGTTGATGAGCTACGCGAGAGCCCACTGTATCACCCCTGCGGATGTTCCTGTTCCGGTTGTGAACGTCTCCTGCCAAACACGAAATCGAGGTTTTCATCACTTGTCCTATGATTGTGCAATTCAGCAAACGGCTATTGCTAGTGAACTTTCTATTTCTGTTGGGACTTCCATGATAATAACAGTTGGACTACTCAATGAAACTGCAGCATATCAACTTCTATTAATAACTAAGAAGTTAGAGAGAAACCATACTAAGATGAATGCTTTGACGCTCCCGCGACTTAGCCTCATGTCCGACTTTTCATCTTCCATTATGTCGAGCAGTACATCGACAAGATCCTTGTTACGCATAGCAGGATCACAATTCTTGTTCCTAGTCTCTTCATGCTCTTTCAAGATGCCTTCCATCATTGCATCTAACCTCAAATGCACATCCTGAAGCCTCTTCCCTAGACCTTGTATGTCCACATTTTTACAAAACCAAATATAATCCTGGAAATTGAACTTGCCGGTCAGCGCCCCGACTTCATCCACCAATGTTGTCACCTCACCAGCCTCATCACTAGTCGCTGAACACCTGTTGCTCATCGTCATCCTAGAGATTATTTTATTTGCAAGTGCCGTGAGCTCTTGGCCTACATCAACCGCCTCGTTAGCTTGGCTCTTCCGTAGCATTCCCTTCAAGAAACTCTCGATTTCTTCCTCTTGAACAGGAACGAATTGGTCTAGCGTCCGTCCGCCGAGAAGTTCGGTCATGCATATTTTCTTCATGAACTTCCAGTAGGGCCCGTAGGGAGCGAACCAAAAGTCGGCCGCTCCATAAGTCAAGCACCGGACAGCCACGGTCGAAGGGCGATTGGAGAAGGAGATTTCGTGGGTTTTGAGGAACTCTTTTGCTGTTTCGGGGGGAAGAAGCCACCACACATGGAACGGAGCCGAAGGACAGATAAAGCAACGGGCCGTAGCATCTTGAGAGATTATGGAGCGCTTGATGAGGAACCGGCCTCAGAAGATGAAGGTGTCCGATGATAGGAAGTCGAAAAGGCGACGGCGGGAGCTTATACGAAGACTTAGCCTTTGATAGGATGAACCTCACAGCAAAGAACGAGATGACCCAAACAAGAACGAGAACTGTGTAATCTTGGATGCTGTTTCCCATTGCCGAACAGAAGAGTATCGGTCTTTCGTGACCTGATGAGATCGAAATGAAAGGAGACTAAGCGTTGGTTTTGATGTCAGCAGCAGGAGTGGTCCTTAAAACAAGAGGTTTTCTCGTGTGTATGTCATCAGAAGTATCTCAAACTCTCTTGTTGCTAAGAAAAAACTAAGTAGATTATTGTGCAACGAGACGCCTTCATTGGTTTCCCCGATGTTCTTTGACCACTTCCTTTTGGCATGCAATCAGTTTCCCATGTTTTTCATGCCCTTTTCGTTCTTTGGATTGAAGCTACCTGATCCCGGAAAATGGGAAAAAGAATCTTATTCGCCACATCCACATTTACAGAAAATGTATGATTTAGAAATATATTTTCATCGTTTACAAAAATATTTAGATATGAAGTATTGTCGATAATGAAAATATTTTTTATCGATCAATTATTTCAAATGATACAAACAATCATTTTCAGAAAAATATTTTTAAATCATTTATTTCTATGGAGTCTCAATCTCCAAAAAAATCATTCCAATTTAACCATTCAAAATATATGTAATTTGATCGTAGATAATTGTAGGTTAAATTAGCCGTTAACATGGAAGACTAGTTGACAGTCGTCCACACATATTTTGGGCGTTCAGTCGTCCATCAGTACTAGTTGACAGTCTTTGAAAGTAGAGAAATTTGGGCGAATTACATTTCCCTCCCATATTTTAACATTTGTTGCAAATTGCCCCCTTGACTTTTCAATTTTTACAATTTTCCCCTAAAACCTTGAAATCGGTTGTAATGTTGCCCCTAACGTTGACTCCGGGCCTCCGGCCATCTTTCTATTGCAGTTCCGATCATGTGCTTGTCACGTGACTAATCCGCTCTCTTATGTACAGTAAATCTCTCCAAGAAATAGCGAATTACATTTTGCCGTCTGGGTTTTGGCACATGTGTTGAGTTACCCCTAACTTTCCAACCTTTTTTCAATGTTTCCCTAGAGTATTAATTCAAAGCCACATCGACATTGATCTTGACAAGTTTTTGCCTTTTGGATCTAGTCTCCTCTCCTTGGGAGATCGACTTTGGCTATCTAAGGAAGAACGTCCTGCCGTCACGTGACACATGCGTGTGGCTATGGCATAGTCTACCGATAATGCAATTACCACGTGCTAGACCGCTCCTCCCCATTTCTCTCTCTTTAAATTTCTTATTTATATAATAAAAATTATTATATCATTTCTTTTGATTATAAATATTTGGCTCACACAAGAACTCCTCAAAGTGGAGTATGTATAATGATTTGATATTTTTAACAATACAACTTGGCACATTGTCTCGTCGCATCAACATTTGGTATTCGTGCTATGTTTCTTATTAAGCGATAATAGCACTAAATCACCGTAGCTCAACAAGCAAAACAGTTTATTTATAGTCATCGATTAATTTGTGCGAATAAACAAATTGTGCAGATTGTATTGGATCTTGTAATGATAAAATTGTCCTCTGCATTTCTTAACTTGCTTTCTGTGTTACCCTATATTGCAAACCCTAAGAAGTCATTTTATGAAAACAATAATACCAAATTTGGTTAATTACATGATGACTTTGAAAAAGAATGAAGTTTGGAAGCCATAATTGAAACGAAATATAAGGTTTGATTATTTGAATAATTATTTCTAAAGTATGGGCTAGATTTGTAAGATTATTTAAAGTGTAAGCCTTGATGAAAATTGGCCAGAGTCAACACCAAGTGGGGGAAATTGCGACCAATTTCAAGACTTTGGGGGAACAAAGTAAAAAGTTAGGGGCAAATCAAAACCAGTGCCGGAATTTGGGGGGAAAACGTAATTCACGTTTGATGTCAGACATATTTGCTTTGTCAGAGGACTAATTAGTTGGATGACCAGCACACGATCAAAGCTTCGATTGAAAAATGGTAAAGGATACATTACAATCGATTTCAAGAGGACATATTGCGAATATTGAAAAGTCAAGTGGTAATTTGCAGTAAGTGTTAAAACGTAGGAGGCATATTAATTTCAGTATTTATAACAGCCGCCAATAATTTCTTAAGTTAGGGATTGTCTTGCCTTCTGCAATATTTGGACAGAGAGAGAGAGAAAAGTTGGTTGGTCTGGTCGTTTTCCGGTAATGCCAACACGCCAAGCCACGTTTCTCTGGGCTCAGTTCATTCCAAGTCTGCACCAAACTCCAAGCGAACGAACTGCACAAAACCTTCCCTGTCTTGCTCTCTCTTCTGCTTCAATTTTCACGGCGCAAACATGAAGCTCAAAGCCCTAGCTCGACCTCCCCTCCCTCCCCTCCCGATCCCTGACATGAATCTTCTTCGTCGTCGCAGTATCCTCCCCAAGAAACGGCCTCTCTCTTCGCTTAAACCCAACTCTTTTCATGGTCGGGCTACTTCAGATTTGCGTATTCTCGCTCCTACACATTTTACCAACAAGTTTATCGCCGCTTGTCTCAGTTCTAGTTCTAGCGAAAAGCTCGGCGATACTTGCGATTCAGAGACGGGAGAGAACGATTATGATGAAGAAGAGAGGGTTGACAAGAGGGCGACGAGAGGGGAATTGGCGAATCAGAGCTTGTGGAATCAAATCGTAGAAATCGTGAAGTTTTCGGGCCCTGCAACGGGTCTGTGGATATGCGGGCCGTTGATGAGTCTCATCGACACTGCCGTCATTGGTCAAGGAAGCTCCATCGAGCTTGCTGCTTTAGGTGAGTTCTCAACTATCACCAGCTTGTTGTGGATTGTTAGTTTGGCTACAGGAACTATTTGGCAACGATAAGCTGTTGAAAGTTTTCAGAAGAGTTAAGCTTGTATCAGGGTCCAAGTATAGCAAACAGGAAAAGTTATATGTTGCAAATTTTTATGATTGATAGGATTTCATTTGGATTCACACTGAAAAAGGAAACAGAGGATATTCTAAGAAGAGCTTCAAAGGAAAAACCTATAATAGAGGCATCATTTGAACCAGCTAATAGAATACCGATTTTGTTCCCTTCAGGGCTTGTTCTTATGGTCTGTCCTGTCACCAGTTTATTAAGCGATTTAAGCCGGTGCCTTAACAACCCTTTGCTAATCACATGGTCTTTTAATGCGCTGACTACAACTTTTATATAAATTTGGATAAACAGGTCCGGGAACAGTGCTCTGCGATAATATGAGTTATGTGTTCATGTTCCTATCAATTGCTACCACAAACATGGTTGCCACTTCACTGGCCAGACGGGTTAGTCCTCCCTGCTGTTGAGAGGTATCGTCATTTTTAACATTGAATCGATGTAAGAGTCTCCACTAATATATTACTTGGTTTCGATTTTGTTTAGTGAACATTATCAAGGAGTTCCCCTTGAAAAAAGTCCAACTAATTGTTTTAAAGAAACATTTTATCTAACTTACATCACACTAGTCAAGGTCCATTTCTTTTTCTGTTTTGTTTCTTTTGTTTAGAAGGTCCATATCTTTCTGGTTCTTCGTTCTTGCCACAAAAGAACACTAGCCAAAAGGTATGATGGTTTCACATGTTACTGAATGAGATTCACAGACCGGTTAATCCTTATGCAGGACAAAAATGAAGTGCAGTATCAAATATCGATCTTGCTCTTCATTGGGTTGGTGTGTGGCTTATCAATGCTTTTGTTTACCAGATTCCTAGGAACATGGGCTCTTACAGGTACAAGATATGTGATTATATGGCTAGCTGTTTAGAATGGATTTGCTGCTGCTTTTCTCTAACTATCTAGTTTTGTTCGTCCATCTATCTTTTTCCGAAAATAAAAACCCTTTTACTTTCTTTTTCATTTATATTGTGCTAGGCAATTAGGAGGGAATGAGGCCTGTGGGCATTTTAAAAAGAAGGAAATGTGGACTAATCTGTTTTTTGTCAACATCTTTTCCAGCTTTTACAGGACCCAAAAATGCACACATTGTTCCAGCTGCCAACACATATGTCCAGGTTCTTCTTTTACAAGTTCGATTATTCTGGGATAAATGCTTTGCTCTTTGCCATCTGCTTCATTATCATCCAATCTGAGCCAATGGCTCAGAAATGCAATTGAGTTTTTATTTTACATTTCATCTGTATCTCATGTAAGGCCTCTTCTGAATTTTGGGTTCAGTAGTTGCTTGCAAACAAGTTCCATTAAGGCCACCTTTGGTTTAAACAGGATTCCTTTTTTTTTTAGATACGAGGCTTGGCATGGCCAGCAGTTCTTGTTGGATGGGTTGCTCAAAGTGCGAGGTACTGTCTGACCCTTAATCTCTGCACCCAAGAATGTTCCTTAACTTGCAAAATGTCAGTTACTAGGCACTTTGTCCCTACCGAAATGACCAAGAGGTCAATTATGGACTTTGTTGTCCAGATAAATTGGGAATGTAGTTATTTTTGTATCTTGTCTGATTTCAAGTGGTAGACTTGATCATTCAAATCTTGTCTTCCCACTTCTGATTGATCTCTTATTTCCCAGTCTTGGCATGAAAGATTCATGGGGACCTCTAAAGGCCCTAGCCACTGCTACTGTCATAAATGGAGTTGGTGACATACTCCTCTGCAGCCTTATGGGCTATGGAATAGCTGGTGCAGCATGGGCTACCATGGCATCACAAGTATGTAACCTGCTCGATATGTTGTGCTCTTGTTTGTGCATCCTCAACGTTTTCAAAGTTGTTAGTGAACTCCCTTACACTTATTTATCAACTCATCTCCTAGGTTGTTGCTGCCTATATGATGATTGAAGCTCTAAAGAAAAAAGGATATAATGCTTTCGCCCTTACTATTCCATCAGCCAGTGAACTTCTGACGATAATCGGGCTAGCTGCTCCAGTGTTTGTCTCATTAATGTCAAAGGTAGGTTAGAGTCACTCAACGCTGTTATGTTGTTAAAGTGTATGAGAATCAAATTGTTCATTCATTTTTACTTCAGCTGAGACTATTCCAATACATTTGATATGTTTTTGACGATTCAGGTGGGTTTTTACTCCCTAATTATCTATTTTGCAACATCGATGGGCACGCATGTTGTGGCGGCTCACCAGGTGAGGATGCTATTGCGCTCTGGCTAAACTGTTTTCTTTCTATAGGATCCTGTACAAGAGGAACTAATGTAATTTACCTACACTTATCATTCCTTATAGGTCATGATTCAAATTTACAGCATGTGTGTCGTATGGGGTGAGCCTCTATCTCAAACAGCGCAATCATTTATGCCTGAGATGATGTTTGGAGTCACTCAGAATTTGGCAAAGGTTAGTGATGCCCTATTACAACTGAAGGGCAATATGTTTCTTGTCTAGGTGTATAACAGCTGCCTTGTATTTCTCGCTACCTTTTTTCGTTGAATGTCCTGCATAAGTTTATAATGTTGTATTTCTCTTGAAAGATATTCCCTTAAGTCTAGCATTGTCAAACAGGCCAGGTTACTGCTAAAATCACTTGTAATTATTGGCACGATATGTGGATTGGTAATTGGAACAATTGGGACATCTGTTCCTTGGTTCTCTCCCACTATCTTTACACCTGATCAAAGTGTCATCCAAGAGGTTAGTCATGACATTTGAATATTGGGAGTATGCTTCGCTGTTAGTCTATTCTTTCTGATAGATCAACCTTTGTCTCAGATGCACAAGGTGTTGATACCGTTCTTTATGGCATTAGCAGTGACACCCTGCACTCATAGCCTTGAGGGCACATTGCTGGTACGTCTACAGTGATCTGACTGAACTAGGATGATTTACATTTGCACTCGCAACTCCAGTTTTGCATTAGTTGTCTGTACATCTACTTCCAGACCTTAGTAAACTCCCGAAACTACATGCATTAATATTATATCACGCTAAATTGCTGAGAGTTTGAGCAAAAAACAGTAGGATTGAAGGATTAAGGAAAGAAAGCTAAGTAATTCTCACATCCTATGACTTGCTGAATTGCTCTATCTGTCATCAAAGGAGTTAACTTCTTCATAGAATGAGTTCCTAACAGAACCCCGCTCGTTTGCTAATGCAGGCTGGACGAGATCTTAAATTCATAAGTTTGTCATTGAGTGGATGCTTTTCCTTGGGTGCTTTGTTGCTCTTGGTAGGGGTCTGGAGCTTACTTTCATACTATGAAATTTTATGATGTCTTCAATGTTTTTGTTTATCCAAATGCCCTAACATTGCTCGCTACTTTTTCTTGTAGCTCTTGAGCAGCAAAGGATATGGATTGCCAGGTTGTTGGTGTGCACTTGTAGGATTTCAATGGGTACGGCTAAATTCTTGCTCCTTGGCTTCTTTTTCTGGCATTAATCACTTGCTCGGGGACTTAATTTTTAATGTGGAACGTGTACTTATTTGGACTCGGCTTATTCATGTGATAATATCAGGCTCGGTTTTTCCTCGCTCTCCAACGCCTGCTGTCTCCAGATGGCATACTTCATGACAATGATTCAGGAAAATACAAGCCGAGCAACCTGAGAGCTACATAGCTTCATATCCGTGTCTAATTCGGCCCGTCAACAGATAAGCAATCATGAAGCAGGAAGAAGTCATCAAAATTGAGCTAATGAAGCTTCCGGAGGAATGAATTATGTACACGGACGAGAATAGCCGCGAATCTGTACATCATGCTAAGTTGGACGAAGTGTTAAAAGGCCTTGTCTATTGCCGTTTTGACTGTTTCTGAATTCTGATGTTTCAGTGTAGAAGAAAGGGGCAATGATAGTGATTGGAATGGCTGTGGCTCTGTGACTTTGTCCGGCACCCTTAAAGCCAAAAAAATGCATGACGAGCACACGATCGAAGCTTCGATTGAAAAATGGTCAGAGTCGCCACTAAATGAGCCATTGCAATCGATTTCAATTTTAGAGTACATATTGCAAAAATCAAATAGTCAAGTGGTAATTTGCAATAAGTGTTAAAACCTATGAGGCATATTAATTTCAGTATTTATAACAGCCGCCAAATAATTTCCTAAATTAGGTATTGTCTTGCCTTCTGTGCAATAATTCCGACAGAGCGAGAGAGTGAGGAAAGTGGGTTGGTCTGGTCGTTTTCCGGTAATTCCTAGTCTGCACCAAACTCCAAGCGAACGAACTGCACAAAATCTTGCCTGTCTTGCTCTCTCTTCTGCTTCCATTTTCACGGCGCAAACAATGAAGCTTAAAGCCCTAGCTCGACCTCCCCTTGCTCCTCTCCCGATCCCCAAGAAACGGCCTCTCTCTTCGCTTAAACCCAACTCTTTTCATGGCCGGGCTGCTTCAGATTTGCGCATTCTCGCTCCTACACATTTTACCAGCAAGTTTACCGCGGCTTGTCTCAGTTCTAGCTCTAGCGAAGAACTCGGCGATACTCGCAATTCAGTGACGGGAGAGAACGATTTTGATGACAAAGAGAGGATTGACAAGAGGGCAGCGAGAGGGGAACTGGCGAATCAGAGCTTGTGGGATCAAATCGTAGAAATCATGAAGTTTTCGGGTCCTGCGACGGGTCTGTGGATATGCGGGCCGTTGATGAGTCTCATCGACACTGTGGTCATTGGTCAAGGAAGCTCCATCGAGCTTGCTGCTTTAGGTGATTTCTCAACTATCACCTGCTTGTTGTGGATTGTTAGTTTTGGCTACAGGAACTATTTGGCAAGGATAAGCGGTTGAAAATTTTCAGTAGAGTTAAGCTTGTATCAGGATCCAAGTATATAGCAAACAGGAAAAGCTAATGTGTTGGAGATTTTCATGATTTATAGGATTTCATTTGGATTCACACTGAAAATGGAAACAGAGGATATTCTAAGAAGAGCTCCATAGGCAAGAACCTATGACAGAGGCATCATTTGAACCAGATGATAGAATACCGAACTCGTTCCCTTTAGGGCTTGTACTGATGGGCTGTCCAGTCACCAGTTTATTAAGCGATTTAAGCTGGTGCCTTAAGAATCCTTTGCTAATTGCATGGCCTTTTAACTTGTTGACTACAACAACCCTTTTTAATTTGAAATTTGGATAAACAGGTCCGGGGACGGTGCTCTGTGATAATATGAGTTATGTGTTCATGTTCCTATCAGTTGCTACCACAAACATGGTTGCCACTTCACTGGCCAGACGGGTTAGTCCTCCATGCTGTTGAGAGGTATCGTCATTTTTAACATTGAACCGAAGTAAGGGTCTCCACTAATATGTTACTTGGTTTCGATTTTGTTTAGTAAACATCATCAAGGAGTTCCCCTTGAAAAAACTCGGACTATTTGTTTTATAGAAACGTTTTGTCTTAGTTACGTCACACTAGTCGAGGTCCATCTCTTTTTCTTTTTTTGTTTCTTATGTTTACAATGGCCATCTCTTTCTCGTTCTTCGTTCTTGCCGCAAAAGAACACTAGCGAAAAGGTATGATGGTTTCACATGTTATTGAATGAGATTCACGGACTGTTTAATCCTTATTCAGGACAAAAATGAAGTGCAGCATCAAATATCGATCTTGCTCTTCATTGGGTTGGCGTGTGGCTTATCAATGCTTTTGTTCACCAGATTCCTAGGTACATGGGCTCTTACAGGTACGAGATGTGCGGTTATACGGCTAGCTGTTTAGAATGGATTCGCTGCTGCTTTTCTCTGACTATCTAGTTTTGTTCCCCCATCTACCCTTTCCAAAAAATAAAAACCTTTTTCCTTTCTTTTTCATTTATATTGTGCTAGGCAATTTGGAGGGTGTGAGGCCTGTGGGCATTTTAGAAAGAAGGAAATGTGGACTAATCTGTTTTTTGTCGACGTCTTTTCCAGCTTTTACGGGACCCAAAAACGCACACATTGTTCCAGCTGCCAACACATATGTCCAGGTTCTTCTTTTACAAGTTCGATTATTCTGGGATAAATGCTTTGCTCTTTGCCGTCTGCTTCATTATCATCCAATCTGAACCAATGGCTCAGAAATGCAATTGATTTTTTATTTTACATTTCATCTGTATCTCATGTAAGGCCTCTTCTGAATTTTGGGCTCTGTAGTTGCTTGCAGACAAGTTCCATTAAGGCCACCTTTGGTTTAAACAGGATTCATTTTTTTTCAGATACGAGGCTTGGCATGGCCAGCAGTTCTTGTTGGATAGGTTGCTCAAAGTGCGAGGTACTGTCTGACCCTTAATCTCGGCACCCAAGAATGTTCCTTAACTTGCAAAATGTCGGTTACTAGGCACTTTGTCCATACCAAAATGACCAAGAGATCAATTACGGACTTTGTTGTCCAGATAAATTGGGAATGCAGTTATTTTTGTATCTTGTCTGATTTCAAGTGGTAGACTTGATCATTCAAATCTTGTCTTCCCAGTTCTGATTGGTCTCTTATTTCCCAGTCTTGGCATGAAAGATTCATGGGGACCTCTAAAGGCCCTAGCCACTGCTACTGTCATAAATGGAGTTGGTGACATACTCCTCTGCAGCCTTATGGGCTATGGAATAGCTGGTGCAGCATGGGCTACCATGGTATCACAAGTATGTAACCTGCTCGATATGTTGTGCTCTTGTTTGTGCATCCTCAACGTTTTCAAAGTTGTTAGTGAACTCCCTTACACTTATTTATCAACTCATCTCCTAGGTTGTTGCTGCCTATATGATGATTGAAGCTCTAAAGAAAAAAGGATATAATGCTTTTGCCCTCACTATTCCATCGGCCAGTGAACTTCTGATGATAATTGGGCTAGCTGCTCCAGTTTTTGTCTCATCAATGTCAAAGGTAGGTTAAAGTCACTCAACGCTGTTATGTCATTAAAAGTATTAGAGAATCAAACTGCTCATTCATTTTTACTTCGGCTGAGACTATTCCAATACATTTGATATGTTTTTGACGATTCAGGTGGGTTTTTACTCCCTAATTATCTATTTTGCAACATCGATGGGCACGCATGTTGTGGCGGCTCATCGGGTGAGGATGATATTGCACTCTGGCTAAATTGTTTTCTTTTTATAGGATCCTGTACAAGAGGAACTGATGTAACTTACCTACACTTATCATTCTTTATAGGTCATGATTCAAATTTACAGCATGTGTGTTGTATTGGGTGGGCCTCTATCTCAAACAGCTCAATCATTTATGCCTGAGATGATGTTTGGAGTCACTCGAAATTTGGCAAATGTTAGTGATGGCCTATCCCAACTGAAGCAATATGTCTCTTGTCTAGGAGTATAACAGCTGCCTTGTATTTCTCGCTACCTTTTCTTGTTGAATGTCCTGCATAAGTTTATATCGTTGTATTTCTCTTGAAAGATATTCTCTTAAGCCTAGCAATGTCAAACAGGCCAGGTTACTGCTAAAATCACTTGTAATTATTGGCACGATATGTGGATTGGTAATTGGAACAATTGGGACATCTGTTCCTTGGTTCTCTCCCACTATCTTTACACCTGATCAAAGTGTCATCCAAGAGGTTAGTCATGACATTTGAATATTGGGAGTATGCTTCACTGTTAGTCTGTTCTTTCTGATAGATCAACCTTATGTCTCAGATGCACAAGGCGTTGATACCGTTCTTTATGGCATTAGCAGTGACACCCTGCACTCATAGCCTTGAGGGCACATTGCTGGTACGTCTACAGTAATCTGACTGAACTAGGATAATTTGCGTGCTTGTAACTCCAGTTTTGCATTAGTTGTCTCTGTACATCTACTTCCAAACCTTAGTAAACTCCAGATACTACGTACATTGATATCATATCACGCCAAATTGCTGAGAGCTTGAGTAAAAAAACAGTAGGATTGAAGGATAAAGGAAAGAAAGCTAAGTAATTCTCAAATCCCATGACTTGCCGAATTGCTCTATCTGTCATCAAAGGAGTTAACTTCTTCATAGAGTGAGTTCCTAACAGAAACCCACTTATTTGCTCAATGCAGGCTGGACGAGATCTTAAATTCATAAGTTTGTCAACGAGCGGATGCTTTTCCTTGGGTGCTTTTGTGCTCTTGGTAGGGGTCTGGAGCTTACTTTCCTACTATGAAATTTTATGATGTCTTCAATGTTTTTGTTTATCTGAATGCCCTAACATTGCTCGCTACTTTTTTCTGTAGCTCTTGAGCAGCAAAGGATATGGATTGCCAGGTTTCTGGTGTGCACTTGTCGCATTTCAATGGGTATGGCTAAATTCTTGCTCCTTGGCTTCCTTTTCTGGCATTAATCACTTGCTCGGGGACTGAATTTTTAATGTGGAACATGTACTTATTTGGACTCGGCTTATTCATGTGATAATATGTCAGGCTCGGTTTTTCCTCGCTCTCCAACGCCTACTGTCTCCAGATGGCATTCTTCATGACAATGATTCAGGCAAATACAAGCCGACCGACCTGAGAGCTACATAGCTTCACATCCGTGTCTAATTCGGCCCGTCAACGGATAAGCAATCGTGAAGCAGGGAAAGGTCGTCGAAATTGAGCAAATGAAGCTTCCAGAGGAGAGAATCATGTGCACGGATGAGAATAGCCGTGAATCTGTACATGCTGCGTTGGACAAAGTGTTAAAAGGCCTTGTCCATTGCCATTTGACTGTTTCTGATGATGTTGCAGTGTAGAAGAAAGGGGCAATGATTGGAATGACTCTGGCTCTGTGACTTTGCCCGGCATCCTTTAAGCCAAAAAAATGTGGGCCCGCTGAAACTTCAATCGTGTTGACAGATTCTCGTTCCGTTGGATTGTAATCTCTTTTCCGGGTCGAGAAAGATAGCCCGTCGATGCTTGTAAGCTTTTGGAAATTGATGCATGGAGTAATCAGATTACCGTTTTCAGCGAACGAGAACGCATGAATTTGATTTCTTTGTCGGACGTGGCTCAAAAGATGGACGGTCTCTGTTTTTCGAAGGTAAAGAATTTGATAAATGTATCGGAAGTCCTAAAACTTATCATGAAAGCACAATTGAGTTCTAAAACTTTTAAAAAGTACTATCAAGTCTTAAAACTTATTACGAAAGTGTAATTGAGTCCTAAAACTTTCAAAAAGTGTACTCAAGTCCTAAAATTAGTCCTAAAATTTATCAAGTTTGTGCAATAAGATCCTTTCATTAATTTCGTTCAACTTGATAAATGAAAAATGCTAATAAATTTTAAGACTTGATTGTCCAAACTTGAAAAGTGTTAGTATTTGATTGCACAAATTTGACAAGTTTTAGGAATTGATAGAACTTTTTAAAAGTTTTAAAACTCGATTGCACTTTCGTGACAAGTTTTAAAATTTTTAATCTACTTGTTCCAATAAAGAATGGTCTCTTTTCAATGACCAGGGTTCTGGGGTTGTTGCTTTTCGATCCAAAGCCTCCTGTGAACTATAGATTTATTCCTATGACAACATCTTCGCAGTTGGTGCTAAAGATACAAAATACATTAACTTGTCCGGGGTTGGAAACTTTGCAAGCTCGTGGTCACAACTTCTGAAAAGGATTCTGGCGTCCCAAAGACCGGTCGACTCAGAATATGCCAATGACGTAAACGTATCAAATGTCTCCGAGAGTAACATCCGAAAACGTGGGAAGAACACGTCTCTTGGAATTGGTGGGGAAGATATATTGGGTGATGCGCGTGAAAATTGATCCGGCCATCACATGATTATAATAAAAGGGACAAGAGCATTGAAAGTCTTAAAACTTATCATAAAAGTGCAATTGAATTCTAAAATATTTTAAAAGTATAATTGAATCCCAAAACTTGTCGCAAATTGTAATTGACTTTTAAAACTTTGAAAAAGTGCAATGAAGTCCCAAGAGTTGTCAAATTGGATCGAACAAAGTGCTTCTGTTGATTGCACTCCTTGAAAATGTAAGGATTCGATTGCACAAATCCTAAGATTTCATCGCACTTTTTGAATATTTCAGAACTCGATTGCACTGGTAACAAATTTTAGGACTTTTATATATATATAAAACAAACCACACACGCGACACTCGCTCTCTACCCGCCAAACATCGTCTTCTTTCTTGTGGTTCCTATAAGAAGGATTTCAACACCGCCAACCCTTCTCTCTCTTCTCACCTTCCTTCTCCCGTCTCTGTTTTCCGGTCGCCGCCGCCGGCACCGACCTAATCTGAAACACAATGCAGATTCACTCTCTTCGCATCCCCCTCCGCGGCCCCGCCCCCGGACGCTTCTCCGATCGTTCCTTCCCCTTCCTCGGTCCTCCTCCTCTCTGTTCCCGCCGCCCCACTCCTCCTCGCCGCTTCCCGGCGGCGGCGGCTCAAGCCTCGTCGAGCCCGCGCTTCCTGGAGGCGAAGCGCGGTCGGGATCGGTTCGTCGCTGCTTGCGTTATCCCTAGCCATGAGATTGCCGAGGACGAAGCTGAGACGTCCACCGGAAGTGGCGACGGTGCTCCCCTGCCGCCGCCGCCGTCGTTTGGCGAGGAGGCGGAGGCGGAGGCGAAGAGGAGTGGACTCTCGGACCAGAGTTTGTGGGATCAAATGAAGGAGATTATGGTGTTCGCGGGCCCGGCGACTGGTTTATGGATTTGCGGGCCGTTGATGAGTCTGATTGACACTGCCGTCATCGGTCAGGGAAGCTCGATTGAGCTCGCTGCGCTAGGTAGCTCCATAAACCTTTTACTATTTCGTTGTGAAGTTATTTGCTGGAGGGAAGAACTTAGGCGACCTCCTGAGCTTTGTCCTTTTTGCTTTCAACTGCAGGTCCTGGAACAGTTCTTTGCGATTATATGAGCTACGTGTTTATGTTCCTCTCAATTGCTACCTCGAATACGGTAGCTACTGCTCTGGCAAGACAGGTAATCTTTTCCTTGAACGAATAGAACTTGTCATAGCGTTATTGATAATTGCTTAGGTGTAGCCTTGCAAATTGCATTTGCTGGAGCATCGGTTTGTTTCTGGCCGCATCCTTGGGAGTTATCGGTTTCAGATATCAAAACATTGTTTTCTATGTATCTGGGGTGGGTGAGTTTGGAGTAACCCTGTCTGGCTTTTGAAATTTGCAATATGTTTTGCTGTGGAATGTGGGAATGAAAGCATATTTCCCAGTTCTGAATCGTTTGGCAAGCATGTGCAGATTACCAGCTTGGATGACTTTTAAGGAGACGTGAAAGCTTTCATTATGCAAAATACTCATACCCAATAGTATGTCATGCAGGATAAAGATGGGGTGCAGCATCAAATATCAATCTTGCTCTTTGTTGGATTGACTTGTGGCTTCTTGATGCTCTTCTTCACCAAATTTTTTGGTTTATGGGCATTAACTGGTACTTGAGACTGCTTTATCCCGCAATTCCCGTGATATTTTACCTTATAATCTGTCACTTCTTTTTTGGTGCATCATACCATTTCGTATGACGTGTTGCTCATTAGAAGATTAAAGCAGGCAGAGAAGAGACAACTATTTGACTCATTAAATTTTTTGCCATGTTTGCAGCTTTTGCTGGGCCAAAGAATGTGCATATTGTCCCTGCAGCAAATACTTATGTTCAGGTTCACTTACATTTTTTGCACCCCACTTCCTGACTCTGGTATAGAATGGCTTTTGTTTCAAGCTGATAAGTTCCAATGCACTTTGTTCTTCTAATCTACCCCAAAATCATAACATCAAAGTAGGGCTTGAGAGGCAGTCTTACTTTAAATGTCTGCCTTCTTGTTTGCGATCATTTGAAAGTCATGGACCGTTGGACGTTTGGCAGTATACATTAATGGAAACCTTGAGATCTCTGAAAAATATACATTTTTTGGAAAAACAAGTCCTGAATCTATCAATATCTGTTGGACGAAAATTGCTAAGTGAGACCACCTTAGATTTTGCAATCCCAAATTGATTTGTCCTGCTTGTTCAAGTCAACCTCACAAGTTTCTCTCAATCATGCTCAGTACATCGTGTGAACTATTTACCTCGATGATTTCTAATTCGCTATACTTGACTATCGTAATACTCGTAATACTTTAGTTTGATGAATATGTTTTCTATCTCATTTTAACTGAACAGAATCGTTTGAATTGGTAGATTCGAGGCTTAGCATGGCCAGCAGTTCTCATTGGTTGGGTTGCTCAAAGTGCAAGGTGCAAATAGTTTTGTCGTTCTATGTATTTATATATTGGATCAGCTCTTCTTAATTGGTCTCTCTTTTAATTCACATTTAAGTCCCTGACCTGCTAGTACATATCGTCTTTGATAGGACTATGCTTTTGGTTAAATCTCCTCAAGAAGGTTTATGCAATAGTTTGGTGGACCTTATAGTTCGTACACAAGTTTGAGTTGACGCTGGATTCAAAAGCAATTAAGGCATCTGTGTGGTTGGACTCATTTTAAAGTAAATGCAGCAACTGAGCAATCAGACTACTGAGGCTTAACCTCATATACCCTGAGCTATGCGTAGTTTTTGCACTATCTTTTATTAGTTTGGCATATATTGAATTAATAATGCAACTCCGTTTCCTCTTCAGCTAAAGAGCCTGAGTGTAGCTTTTCTTTTTTCTCTCTCCTGGGAATTCTAGGCGTACTTTTAGGGTAGCTTTCTCCCTTTCCTTCACGTCTGCATTCCTTTTCCTCTCTCTTGGAAATTGTAGACATGCTTTTTAGGGTAACCTTTTCTTTTCCTGAAGCTCTCCATTCCTTTTCAGCCTAGGCATGAAAGATTCATGGGGACCCCTGAAGGCTCTGGCCATTGCCAGTGCCATAAATGGAATTGGTGATATCGTCCTCTGCAGCGTGTTAGGTTATGGCATCGCTGGTGCAGCATGGGCAACAATGGCTTCACAAGTATGATAAATTTTGAAATACTTGTAATATGCCTTTTAAAAGTCAGGGAACATAATCTCATCTGTGCAATTTTTCCTAATCAGAATACTTTCTAGGTTGTTGCAGCTTATACGATGATGGCTGCTCTAAACAAGAAAGGATACAATGCGTTTGCAATATCTGTACCATCAGCTGATGAACTTTTGTCAATACTCGGGCTTGCTGCTCCCGTGTTCATAACAATGATCTCAAAGGTTTGTCTTGCACTATCTGTGGCTTTTCCGGGTTTCACATAACTACTTCGGTGCATATAAGAGAACTTACCTTTTCAGGTGGCCTTTTATGCACTTCTTACATACTTTGCTACATCTATGGGCACAATTACTGTGGCTGCTCATCAGGTTTATTCCATTGACAATGACAATCGTTATCTTCTCTAGATTAGCTGCTTATTTGTGAGAAACCAAGTGTTTCTTGCTTTCACTAATTGTACTCAATCCAGGTAATGGTTCAAACATTTTGCATGTGTACGGTATGGGGTGAGCCTTTATCTCAAACCGCACAATCATTTATGCCTGAGCTAATATATGGAGTCAATCGGAGTCTGGAAAAGGTAACTGATGGCTATCTTACTATGATGTTTGTGTCATTCTATTCGCCCTAGTGCAAAGATATGCTCTACGTTCGATCTTAGTCAATCCCACTCTGCCCATATGAGCTAATATTTTGCCTTTGTTGGTTGAACTACTCTCAAGATGTCTTGGTGTCAAAACAGGCGCGAACATTGCTGAAGTCTCTTGTGATCATTGGCTGCATACTTGGAATCGTTTTGGGAGGCATTGGAACACTTGTGCCTTGGCAGTTTCCTAACATCTTTACACCCGATCAAACTGTTATACAAGAGGTTAGCTTGCAAACTTTCAAGACTCTGAATACATTGGCTTTACCGGAATCAGCTGTTTTAATATGTTGTCATTCGTTAGTTGACATATGAACAATATCAGGAGAAGCAGCATCCCTGGTATAGTTAAAGGATATTCTGTTATTAAAAGCTGCTTGTTAGTATCGAAATTGTTTGGCTCCACCCTTGAAAAATATAGGGTTTAGGGTTTAGTTCTCAATAACAGATTAGATACGTTATGGTAAGTGATTATGGTAAATTGTGAATAGTATTCTGTATAAATTGTGGCGGGGTATGGCGCATATAGTTTCACCAAACTGTGCTGCGGATTACTGTTGAATTCTAATACGATGTCAGGAGCAGTTGGACTAGCACTCTTGTTTCTCGTAGCTATAACAAGCAAATAAGATTTAAATTGACTCAATGGCCGCATTTATTTACATGCATTTGCTTATATTTTCGACGATCATATGCATGTTATTATCTGGAGGCTAGAAAGTTTGTTCCGATTATGGTGTAGCTTCATGTATCCTAATGGAATTTCTTTTTAAGTTACTGAAGGTTGCCAAAATTGCTTCAGGAAAATTTGCTGATGAACTAATCGTATATTCCCCATCTCTTCTGGATATCAAGTATCTGATTTTCTTTGAATGCCTTGTTTATATTCAGATGCACAAGGTGCTAATTCCATACTACATGGCATTAGCCATCACACCCCCCACACACTGCCTCGAGGGTACATTGCTGGTGAGAATGTTATCATTATGTATTATTACGAGTTCTCTTGTTCCTTTTATTGTGAATCAAAGATCACTGCAGGTTACCGTAAGATTCGTGTTGGTCTTATGTTTCAACTCTTCAGTTATTCAGACCTTGTCTGGCTTATGGCGTCTTAGCAATTAAAAAGGCAAAGATAAGGCTCTTTGGCAGACATAATCTTCTCTCACCTTCTTATACTTGAGCTGTATATTATTATACTTGTTAGGAACTACAGAAGTGTAGTTTCTGCTTTCTAAGGATAGTGCTAGTTTTATAGGCATAGACTGGCCATTCGCCTCCATGCCTCTGCAATTTATGGACCTTCGATGTCCTCCATATGGGCTATTTGAACAATGTCTAGCTATGGGGACATTGATTATGTGTTTGTTAGGTGCTTAGGTTACTGTGCATGTCTCTCTGCCTTACCCATGTCAATTTTGCTTGAAGCCTCGTACCTGAGCAACATAGAGAGTAGCTTTGCATGTATATGCATGTTTCTGTGACTTTCACCAAAATGTTATAAACGACTTGTATTCCTGCTAGGCTGGACGAGATCTTAGATTTGTCAGTGTCTCCATGAGCGGATGCTTTACTCTGGGCGCTCTTCTGCTGTTGGTAAGCTGATTTTTCTTTCCCATAGATCATTACAGAACTAGGTCATTTGACAAATTGACTAACCTTTCCTTTTGTTATTAGCTCGTGAGCAGTAAAGGGTTGGGTTTGGCAGGATGTTGGTATGCACTATCTGGATTTCAATGGGTAAGACTGACACTCCTGCTCATATTCATGCATTTTGTCCTAGGCACTTCTCAAATGGAGAAAATTTTTTCAGGCTCGGTTCTTTCTCGCTCTACGGCGCCTTACTTCTGCCAACAGTGTACTGTACACGGAAGATCTGAGCCGTTTTAAACTGCAGAAGCTAAAAGCTACTTAGCTTATAAATCAGTCAATGAGGCATGTGCTCGGTATTAATACTTGACTGATCATCTGGATAAGGTGCCACCACGTGACTTCTCGTGCTTCTCAGCCATCTAATTTACCAGTTGTATGATGCGTGGTCAATCTGTTTCCTCTCATTGGGTTAGGGTTATTCTATTCTTTGTGCCTCGAAGAGGCCAAGAGAATTAAGCAAGGTAGTTCCTTAGAGCTCTCTTTTGCTTCTTCTACAGAAAAATGGGGGTCTGTAATGTACCATATTAGTATAGACAATAGGATTACCTCTTGGAGGTGATACGACTGAGATTACTTCTCTTGTACTCTTAAAGCTATTTATTCAAATCTGGCTCCAATCTCGATACTGTGAGTGTGACTACTTCTTTCCGGCTTATCTTCGGCGTAAACTATACTTTAGTAACGTAATCGACACTTGCACCATCTGTGTTGCTCATTTCTGGGTTAAAGTACCAGACATTCAAAGAAAAAGAGAGCGTTTTGCAAATCATTATTCTCAATAGCTCCACAGCAGTCGCTAAAATTTAGCAGAAAGCCCATGGGACCCGTTTAAGCTTGCACTCGTTGTCATCAGGTTTGGAGAAGTTGCCTTCTCTTATTTTTGGTTTGGGGGGAGGGGATTGCGTATTTTTGCACTCAATTAATAAAAGGAAAAGAGCAATAAAAAATTTCAAATTAAGCCAACTGTGACATATTTATCTTGAATGTTTTTTGCAATACCAAAAACTCTAAACCTGTACTTCTAACATATATATCCTAAAAAAAAAATTTATGACAACAAAAATCTCAAGACTTGTATTTGCGCAACATATTAACCCTCCTTCAAGATTCCTTTCTCCTTTTTTTTTCTTCCACCTTCGCCACCATCCTCACCGTCGCCAAGGAATAAAACAAAGGAGGACAAAAAAAAAAGGAAAAAAGAAAACGAGAAAAAGAAGCATACGAGTAGTTGACATATTTTTGCCGCATGAGCACCACCTCAACACCAATAGCTTTTTCTGTCATTCATGTAAGTAACCACATAAGATTTTTAGTGACGTTTGTCAAGAAAATCTTAACGGAAGGTAAATGTATCGTATGAGTATTAAGTTTGGGATTTTTAATGTTGAAAAAAAAAAACTTGAGGTAAATATACCACGCGAGTACTGGTAAAATTTTTTATGACATAAAAAAAGTTTAGGATAAACGTGTCACTTTAATTATAAGTTGGGGTTTCTTATGACTTCATTTTGATTAGGTAATTTAACGATCTTTACGATTCCACCTCACTGTAGATTTTTCAGTTACCAGCGTCAGTTGGTCGTAGATATATAGAAAAGAAATTTTTAAAAATAATTGAGCCCGTTATGTCGATCATCTATGATGACAAAAGTCGTAACGCTGGCGTACTTCTCTTTTTCCCCTATAGGCTATGGACACGTGAATAGGATCCACACGAACATGTCAGTAGCACAAGACTCCAAGAATGAATGGACCAATATTGTCAACTCATTCCGCCGTTGCAGACGTAGTCCAATCATATCGCAAGGCTGTTGTCTTCTTTCGCACAAAAGAATCCACGTCGGTCCCTACTCCTGGCTTGGCATATGACGGCGAAACCATAGCATAAAGGACGGGGGCGTCGATGGAATTCTGGTGCATTTGTTTTTATTAAATTAATTTGCAACATTCTCCAACAACGGGTGTTTGGTCTAGTGGTATGATTCTCGCTTCGGGTGCGAGAGGTCGCGAGTTCGATTCTCGCAACACCCCTTTCGCTCTTTTTTACTTCTTGTTCGGCCAAAACCTCCCCCTTCTTCATCTTGTTTTCTTTTCTTCATCTTGTTTTCTTTTTTGGTGGGCAGTTGCGGTTGAGCCTGCCTCGCCTAAAATGTGGACCTCTCTTCCTCACTTCATCACGTGAAGATCGCATTTGGCGCACGGAAAAGGGCATGTTATGTTTGACTTCGGAGGTGAGGGAAATTTATCTTCTTATCTTTTCGCATCTCCTCTGAATGCATTCATCCATTTTCACACACGCAAAGGCAAAACGCTGCGGTCCCCACCAAGGAAGACAAAAAATCTAGAGAGAACAAGCCAACATCCTGGTATCACAACCTTTAAGTACTCATGCTGTAATTGAAGCCTCTTATGGTATTTGCAAATTCTCAACTTCTTAACCACAACAAATTGAATTCGCTCGTGAAAGTGAGCTTTACAGGTGATTTTGAGTGTTTTTCTTAGTTCCCGGTTCTGTCCTGCTGTTGCTAGTTTGATGCTTTGGCTATATGTTTCCCTCCATACCCTTCAAAGCCAATAAGGCGGCTCCGTACGCGGCCTCCGTCTGGATGGCCCGGCTCACGGGTACGCCGAGCACTCTCTCGCGTATCTTTATCCATTTCTCGTTTTTCGAGCCACCTCCAGCTGTGAACACTTCTTCCACCGGAGTCGCCCCCAGATCCTTCAGCAAGCTATACGCCTTTCCCTGCACATGTGCAAATTGACATCATGGGTCCAAGCTTTGCACTACATAACCTCATTTCGACTCTTGACAGTGCAAAAATTAGAAAGTGGGGATACACGACCAAATGTCGGTTGTACCTCGATACGCGCAATAGATTCTAGAATGCCATGCAAGTATTGAACATTGCTTTCTGGGCGTGGAAGTAACCTGCATTAACCATGACTATGATTAGAAATCCCATACTTGTTTAATTACTATCCTCGAATCTTCATCAGATAAAGGAAGGTTCACAATCAGGTTTAGCCTTTTCTCATTGCTGCCTCGATTTCAAATTTTGGTTGGCCAATGATCCGGAAGACATAAGAATGTCATCCACGATCAAGAAATGAAGCCAAGGCAAAAAGCTTTAAGATATCTTAACATCCATACCTGGGCATCATATTAGGATCTGCCACAGGAAACCTTTCGCCAGCAGTTTGAAGAGGGTAATAATCTAGAGGTGATGCTTCCGATGGATCTATCTGCTCACTCAATTTCTCTAATTGCTCATCAGTAAAGATTTGTCTCAAAACAGCTCCGCCAGTATTTGAAGCGCCTCCAACAAGCCATTTATCATCAAGGCGATGGCTATAAACCCCATACCGCGCATCCTCAATCCTCCGGGTGCTCAGCAATTTAATAGCAAGTGTTGAACCCAATGAAGTCACCTAGACGTAAAGTATAAGAATAAACTCTTCAAGCATCAAGAAATAGAAAAGTCTGCATACGATTAAAACAGTACGTCTTTGAAACTGTTAATTTATGCCCAGAAATCTCACAGCTTTTCCAGGTTGTGTTGCCCTTGCAGCAAGAAATGCGGCTATACTATCAGTAGTCCCTGTACACACTACGCAATCATTTGAAAAACCTGCCAAAAAATGTCATCAGTGAGCATCAGTCCCAATGTCAAACTTCAAGCCTACCAGCTCAGCAGGAGCTCGATTTAGCAAAAAGGAAGTTCAGCAGGAGCTCATGTCCAGCAAATACACAACACTAAAATCAAAGCGATTCATAGATCAACAGGTAGGAAGATCACTTGCAAACAAAGTTTCAGGCTAGCTAAGAAGGAAAGCATACCGTGTTTTTGAGCAATGTCCTCTTTCAAATGACCAATTGGTTTTCCTGGAGCTATAACAGAAGGCAGAGCATTAGAATATGGCTGAGACTGCAGCCAAGAAGGGTAGGTCTCAAGTTCTGGATCATAACCAACCTGTGGCACAACAAAGCAGAACCAATGATATCTACCATGAAAAATTGTTGACTGAGGAAAATAATTTCTAAAAAACCAACAAACATGTAGCTCAAACGAATAGTACTTTCAATGCGTTATTATAGTCAGAAACTCCCAGCTTGCCATGCAGAAGCCACAATAACCAATCTGCCTGATGCATTAGAACCACAGATCCTTTATCGGTATCGTTGGAGTTCCACCATGACACAAGCTTGCACAGTGTAGATGAACCAGAGCAGACTGTGTGGTTTTCTGGAGCGATGGACTTCACAATTGGTAAAGCATCGGGACAGCTTTCATTATAAAGGAAAGGTCTTCCGAGTGTATCACCAGATTTGCTGCATCAACATATAAGAGGCCTACTCAGTAGCTCCTTTAAAAGAAACGTTACAAAAAAAAAACTCTCTAATCCCAGTGAGCGGTACAAGATTCACCTGTCAATTATCATAGTGGTTGCAGAAGTTCCATCTACCGACATAGAAGAAATGAGTGAGCGTAGATGCACCGGAATGTCTTCCAGGAGAGAGAAAAGAGTAACTTTCCACGAGGAAACCCAATCCCTTGCGTCTCCGCTCTTTCTAGACAAAACAAACGTAACTTCTCAGTACACTAGGGAATGGAAGGTTTCAGATTAGGAGAAACTAGCAGTTCACCAGGGCATAATTTATTACACTTTTCAGACACATTATCTCTAACATCACTGGACATGCAAAAGGAGACGTTCATCAATAAATTGAGTAAATTTTTAATAAGAGGCCATTCATGCCTTTCTTGCTTGATGATATTAGGGGTACAACTGACGATGTTCAAACCACTTTTGACTGTCTTCATTCATTGTGCATGTTATATCCCAGAACCAGCACCATTTTGCAGGCACGAGTATAATAAATTTTGTACAAGCAAGCTTTACATTCTCAATGCTCGTATCGCTCGGTCACCATAAACTGCTTAATAGTTCCATCTTGTGATCATCATTCTCTAAGTAAGAGGGGAAACAATTTGGGAGTGTGCATTGGCTAAACAGTTCAGGTAGCACGACTGACAATGGACAATCTTTTAAGTGCATCGGCTAAATAGGATAATGAAATACTCATAGCTGAAATGGAACCCATAAACAAAATGTGAGAGTGCAATGACTCCACGTTCCAGTTGAATGCCCTGGTGACCCTAAAGAACAGAATAAAAACTGAGTTAAAGTAGCAGAAGTCGAACCATGTATTCAGGGTACTCCCTTTTTCCTTCAGCATGGATATTGCCTTGCTTGTCTATAAGAGCAAATCTGGCTCCTGAAGTACCAAAATCCATACCAAGATACAGCCTTTCACCAATTTCTGGGTTCATTCCAATGCTTCCGCGAGCAGTCATTCCTCTTCTTGGTTTAGTTTTAGTTGCAGAATTAAACAACCCATTTCTTGAAACCAGCGTCTTTGGGCAACAAACACCTAATAATCAAAGAGCAAACACTAGAAATCATACTATATCAACTCGCTTGAATGGAAATCGATCCTAACATGGTGGATTCATTGATTTGAAATTCTCAACACACGTACTCATGCAATTATTCTCTAATCTCTACGGGGGTAAAAATAAAGAAAGGAAGAAACTAGCGGCGGCACTGACAATGGCAAACACGGGACCGGGCCGAAAACTAGAGGCACAGTAAACAGACATGAAGTAAAAGCAGCAGGAACAATTTTCACACGGGTCATCAATTCAGCGTGGGGCACGCATTGCCCCCACCCGAAACAGTGCAAAATGATCAGTATGTTGGACATGGCGAAATTCACAAGCATCTGCACTTGATTGCTAAATCGCGTGAGTGTCACCGAGAGAGAGAGAGACCATGAACTGAGGGCGATCGCAGCGTAGAGGAAAAGCATGGAGGATAGTTGGAGAGGGAGCAGGACATCGTGAACCTCGGCTCTTGCAGTGACTACTACAAGGATAAAGGCCAAACGACGCCACATGAAATGGATGGTAATCCTATTAACGGACCCATCATTTTCACTACCCAAAAAACAAAAAGAGAAGAAGAAAGATAAAAACAGGACATCATTAACAGGGGAAAACAGCAACATGTACAAAGATTAAAGCAACACAAGCAGCAGACAATCAGAAAAAAACAGAAAAACATGGAGTATCAGGAACCAAGCAGAGATTACCAGAGCAAATGTTGGCAGGTTATCTTCTAATAAAAACACGGCCAATCAGAACGAAACAGAAATCACCAGAGGATCAACTGTGCCGATGAGATATAGCAAAAGGTGTCAATGAGATATCGACATCCCGTCGATGTATCTTCTGAACACAGCAAAGCTGGTGATTCTTGTTTCGCCCTGCGAGAATCTGGTAGGTCATGGCGCAAAAGAGGGACACTTGAGAAAGTTGAAAATAACTTTTAACCATGGCACAAGTTCAATCTCATGTTTTAAAAAGAGGAGAGAGAGGGTCACATTGCTTCGCAAAAAATACAAAGCATTTTACCCGTGTTTATACATGAGTTCTCTCTTTATAACCATTGATTTTCTTTTGATCACCGGCAACGGATATTAATTCTCGTCTAATCAATCCGACAGTGAAAATCCATCTAGATCTAAAGGCGATCAATATCAATCCTTGTCAAACAAATATAGCGGTAAAGATCGAATCCACCTACTAATCTAATAATTCTAAAGAACTTTAGGTTTTATCTATTTGGATAGATGATTTAGTAATTTATTCGGAACGGCAGATCGTGGTGCAGACAACAGAGACATTTAAGAAAGGTAAAAAAAAAAGACTTTTGACCATGGCATGGGTTCTTCTCCATGTTTCCTGTTGGTTGCTACGGATGACAATGTTAAAAAGAAAGGAGAGAGAGTCACATTGCTTCCCGGAAAACAATGGTTCGCCTTACCAGGGAACAGTCATTTTCATTTCCCAAAAAATACAAAAAAAAAAGAAGAAATTTAAGTTTTTGGCTTTGAAAGAGATCAAGTCTTCAAAATTTAAGATGTGATTGCTGCACCCGTAGATCATTAACGCAGAAGACTGTAAATTATATCTAAAAATGGATTGATGATTACAAACTTTTGTTTATCAACGCAAGAAAAAAATGCTTCCTATTTTGGAAGTGGAACGTACGGCAAGGTTGTTGGATTGGACCATTTGTTAGTGAAACAGGCCCGCCCATCTCTCCCTCCAGAAAAGTTGGGCCTCCTTGACCCGTCATTCTACGGCGAGATCCCGCCCTTTTCAGCAACATTGACCCGCACACCCAAATGCATTGAGGCGCAGCACTTAACTGGACATCCACAACTAAAGCACTATATCAATTACAAGATCAAAAACAGAGGTAGTATCATTTGCCTATATCTGCCCAAGTACCCTGTAACGAAATGCTGTCTACTGCAGTGGACCAAAGAAAAACTATTTTACCCACCCGAACCGGTCACGGCCCCGCTCGCATGCTACCGAAGTGGCATCTGTTATGCCCCAAAAGTTACCAAACTCTAATCCGCCAAATCCCTTGATTATATATAATAGACAGGTTCTTCTTTTGCAAAGGAAGGACGCAAATGGAACGAATTGACCGGAGGTTATGAAGCCGCACCATACTCTCACAGCCACCCATCAAACTTGGAATCGGATCGGTTCTTTTCTGAAAGAAACGCGATGCAGACCGTGGATCGAGCTCGAGGTGTGCTGTTGCTCTTGCTAGTGAAGAATCTAATGGCATGTGGAACCCTCACCCGCTCCCCCCGTCCCCAACGAAAAGAAAAGATGAAGGAAACATTACACGAGCGCGCCCTGCAGATGATGATCGCACGTGACCCACTTGCTGCCCGCACTGAAAAGTAGAAAGGTGACAGCTATTGTCAGCTTTGCTCCTCCTCCTGCTTCTGCTGATCATTCCGCACTGAATTCCCTAATTAGGAATCCATATGAAAATCGCTGGTCTTTTTTATCTGAAGTAGATAAACCATGGACCCGTTTGAGTGCCCATCGTTAACCTTATGGATCAGGTAAAGACGCGATCTAATTACGATTCGGGTAAGTAAACTAAACGTAGAGTTATTTATACTTGATATCGTGGAAATCGAACTTGTGCTGTGCATTTAATCCCACACGTATAAGAAATACTCTTTAACGCTGAATTAAATCATGAGGTTCACCATATCGTTATTCACTCAATAAGCTAAGAAAAAAAAAAGATCGACAGAGTGTATGCACTTGCGCGAACTTATTAGTTGAGCTCTTGTTTCGTTATATCAAACACAACTATCCATAACTTCTATCGGAACAATGAGATTGTAATATCGAACCCGTAAATATAAATACTTTGCTTTTTTGTTTTTTTTGGGAGATTCTCTTGGGCAATTGGCCGAAACACCAAGAAGCAAGGTTGGGACCTTTTCCGCATGTGCATGTCGACCCCCCCACAAGAAAAGGAATGTGGTTAAATTGCGATGGACTCCGCACATCTATTATTGCTTCGTTTGCACTCCTCCTCGTTTCAAAAGAACTCGCGGTGTGCATGGGAAGGAGGGAGCCACTCCAACCAACAAGAGAATAAGAGGACAAGATTCAACGCTACTACATGAGGCGCAGTAAATCTCTATTACATCTAATTCGACATTTGCTTGCTGTCTCCTCCATCGAACGCGAGGCGTTTCGCTCGATCTGGTTGGTGGCCGTGGTAGACCCGTTGCGTACGAGAGGAGGTGCGTGCGTTAACTTAAGCGCCACTTTACTTCTCACCTTTTCGAATTTCTTTTCTTCTTTTCTTTTCCAATTCGAGGTTCTTAATCTACATCATTGGATTGGATCGCTATAACGGATAGACCTCATAGGCTTGAGAGGGGAAAAGAGGAAAAAAAAAACAATAGCATTTGCAAATTCAATTGATTCCAGCCCTGTTGGGACATTGACTGCAAAAGCGTTTTCCTTCCCGTTTTGAACCGTGATTTGATATAAAACCTGTCGAAACGAATCATAAACCCATTCTTAAGTCATATGTAGTGAGCCGAATAGTTATATGGATTAAATGTATTCAGTAAATAAATCATAAATGGATTTAAACATTATATAGATTTTTTTTTGTCATAACATGAGTGTTAAATTGATCATCAATTGATCGTAAATGGGTCATATATGGGTTTTGAGTGTTAAATGGATCATAAATTGGTCATATATGAGTCTACAGCTTATTTAAACCCGACCCATATTTATGACTCTCTCTGCTCTCACTCGATCTCGGACTCACTTATTCTCAGTCTCACCTCAATTTGAATATGAGTTTTCTTATATTTGATTAAATATGGAAGACGGGTCAGGTCGAGCATGGATTGGGTATAGATCACTAGATTTGCACTGCATAGTTATTATGGATCTATTTTGATTAGATAATTTTCACTCCGACTCATCCGTTTGACGAGTCTAATCCGATCCGTTGTTTTGTCCTCTTATTCACGTCTGCCCTCGGTCAACTTAACTCGATGCTCTTGCTCCTCGCTAGTTCTTTGCTATTGTTAATCCCCATGCGGCCCCATCGTAACAGTATTCAACGAGAGCTAACAACACCTTGACATGTCTGTCGGTAGATACAGGATTCCCACCCCAGAGCCGCCCTTTAATCGTAAAATAACGAGACAAGTGACAACATTAGGTCGTAATTACTATATATCGGAACATCATCAGCACTAATTGTCTGTTCACAATAATGTAATTAAGAAACGACATAATTTCATTGTCCCGAGTCAACTCGAGCGAGGGAAAGCTTGTTTGATCATCTTTCATTTGTCTTATTCTCCATCATGTCCCAACGAAATCGAAGGCAAATTTGGAAAGATATATGCAAAATCAGAAGTGAGTCTTCATCCCGGCGGCTTGAGTATGTAAAAATAGCTTATGCAAGATATCACGACAGTTTGAACCAAAAAAGAAAGGACGAAAATTGCAATGTTTAATGCGGATTTCGCTTGTCATCGAACTCGCCTCACGCCCGAAACATTTTAGTTTATTAGTCGAAGTAGTGCGAGAAAAACGTGAACCGTTGAATAAACCCTACTTTCGCCTAATTAATCAAGATTTCAGGGTTGCGTGCCGACTTAGGCGTCGAGAAGCCAAATTTGTTGCGGCAAATACAATCGATCGAGGGTTAGTGCAATGATCAAGCTGGATTGTATTATATCGTTGCAACATTTTTTGCTCTTTCTAGCGATGCCGCAATTTGACTCCCACCATCTTTCTCCTTTGGAAATAAGGGAACAATGGGAAATGTGGTGAGTTACGGGCACGACAGGGTGCAGTTCCTTACGTGACAAGCAACCACGGGTACGAGGAAACGTTAAATCGACAATAAATAGTTAAGAAACGAAATAGATTTGTTGGTTGATCCGTCTATCAACCCCTCACGTCCTATATCTTAAAGAAATGAAAAGTTGACCAATTTTCGTGCCAAAAAATATGTATGAAACTATATCGATTATATTTGAGAAAGAAACATAAATAGTTCTTAAACTTTGCCCACAATGTATAATGTCGTCTCATAACTTTTAGTTTGTTTGATATGGTCTGTGAATTTTAATTTAATGTGCAATATTGCCCCAGTACTTTCGACTTGTTCAATATGATCTATGAACTTTTGGTACATATTCAATTTAACCTTTTGACTATGTGAAAAATATTCAATTTTATTCCTGAACTTGAATTAATCGAAAGATAATATTTAACAATTTCATATACAATTGAAGTGTTAGATTGAACATTTATCAAATTTTTAGGGATTGATATCGAACAAATGACACTACATATTGGATCAAAATTAAGAAGTCATCTATGTCGTTGTTCCTTTATATTTAAAAAATATTCGATATTTGCCCGTTGAAATGAAGCCCACACGAAAGGGAAAGCCCCACATACGGTTTCGTTTGCTTAGGCTGACGTCACGTCGCAGGACGGAGAGGGGAAACCAGGGCCAACAGCGGATGATGTCGCCGAGGAGGGAGGAGGAGGATGCGAAAGGACAATCATGACCATATCAGTGGCTTGGCGTTCGTCACATCGCCATCCTCGAATCCGACGTGGAAAGCTGAGGACAGGTGGAAACACCAATCACA